AGATTGCATCTGAGGGGGTCGGTACCATTTTGGTCAAGCTGTCTACCTGACAGCTCAGTTAAAATGGTCTCGACATTGCAATGTGAATCTAAGTAGGTACTTTGTATGCTATTGGTTGAATTTTACTTGCTTGTTGAACTAACATTTAATAAAGCTTGTAGGACTTTGAAGTGACTTGTTTTATGGTGTGTCTACCTCCCATGTTTAACGTAGTTTTTTCCCTGACAGAACGAATGGTGGTTACGACTGGTCCTCGGAGTTATGGCTGTCCCAGCACTCCTGTGGTCATGTGATCGCAGTCTGGATGCTTGGCAACCCGTTTGCACTTACAGCCGGTTGCCAAGTATCACCTGAACACATTATCGCTATTTGAACATTCCCTGCCAACTTCCCCAGAAAGTAAGTGGAGAAGCTGGCAGGGACGGTTGCAAGTCGCTGGGATGTCTCCCCCATCCACGGACCCTCCCCAGCCCCTCTGTGCTTGTGCCATTCCAGCCACTCAAGCACCCCCGCGCACCCTCCCTGACCCACACGGCACCTCTTACGCAGCCACACGCACCCTTACTCGACTCACATGGCACCTCTTGCACACCCAACCTGCATGGCACTTCTCGCATGCCCCTTCACACCCACCCTGCCCCACATAGCGCCTCTTATGCAGCTGCACACCCTCCCTGACTTCCGTGGTACCTCTTGCACACCCAGCCTGCATGGCACCTCTCACATACCCCTTCACACCCACCCCGCCCCACACAGCACCTCTCATGCACCCCCGCGCACCCTCCCTGACCCACACACCGCCTCTTGTGCATCCTCCCCAACCTGCACAGTGCCTCTCACGCACCCCTGCACACCCTTCCCAACCCATGCACCGTCCCTGACCTTCAATCCATCATAAGGATAACATTGAACAAAAATGGGTGCATGGGAGGATACTAAGGAGGAAGCCACTGTTCTTTGGAAACCACATTACTTCCTGCCTCAAGTTTGCCAGTGAGCATCTGGATGATCCAAGCAAGCTATTGGAATGATGTTCTGTGAGCAGATGAGACAAAACTGAATTTTTTTGGCATTAATGAGAAGCTTTATGTTTGGAGAAAATGAAACAAAGTGTTGCAATGAAAGAACTTTATTTCAACCATGAAGCAAGATTGTGAGAGTATCATGCTTTGCAGTCTCAAAATACATATGGCTTGCAGTTATTGAGGGAACACAGATTCTGGATTGTATCAGCAGGTTCTCAGGAAAATGTCAAGGTATCCATGAGATGAAGCTTAAATGAATGCATCACAACACCAACCCTAAACACACAAGTAAATCTACAACAAAATTGTTGAAACAGAAGAAATATTTCATTTTGAAATGACCACATTGTAGCATGACCTGAAATGAGCAGTTCATGCAAGTCAGCCCTAAAACGTCAGTGAGTTAAAGCAGTTCTATAAAGAAGAATGGGCCAAAATTCTTCCAGAATTGGTCAACAGATACAGGAATTGTTTTTTGTTTTTTTTTTATAATTTTTTTTATTTTTTACAACAAACACAAAACATACATAGACAAACAAGAACATAGAA